ACGGGGGGAGCGAAGGCTGGGGTGAAGGCAACTCTAACCCCGTATCAGCGTGTGACGAGTGGCCTCTGTCACATGGAAAGGGGGGACGTGTCTGTGCTGCTGCCCAGGTTCCCAGGTTAACTAGGGGCTGCTACTTATGCAGTCAAAAAAGCAAACAAACAAAGAAACAAAAAAAAAAAAACAAAAAACAAAAAACCACTGCGAAACTCCCCTCGGACTTTGCTGGCAAGTGTGCCCACTGCTGAAACCAGCGGGTGAAATATGCTATATCCCCATTGCAGCCAGCCAGCCCCAGCACCCACGGGGGTCTTCTGCCCGGAGGGTGACGAAGGGAGCAGCCCCTCCGTGGTGAGAACTGCCCTTGCCTCTGACTGGCACAGCGGGGCTGAGGGGCAAAGAAAGGCAAGTAGATCGGCGCTTCAGCCCTTCTCTTCCTTTAGGAACCCTCAATCAGCTGGGCTTTTTCCGCTCCGACCGCAGAGAACCAAGTCTGCTCTTGACTTCCAGGGCGCGCAAGCTGGAATGGACAAGATCCTCAAAGACAGCAAGATCACCATGACCAAGCTCCTCGCTTGGAGACATCCTCCCTAAAACACCGGAGGCAAACAGTGGGTGTTTTGTGGCTGGGATTTCTACCTCTACAAGCTATACGTCTGTGGTGGGGTGGCACGGAGAAGCCGGTAAGCATGGAGCTCCACCATCCCTGCGGGCTGTACAGGGAGGTCACTGCACTAGCTGGTTACACGGGTGTATTTCGGCAAAGCCTCACATAAAGCAGGTCGTGGCTGCCCACTGACACCCCAGGTACACAACCCGACCATGGGGCAGACACACAGGCCAGGTGGGATCTCTGCAGAACAGCCAGCTCCAAGCCTTGGCCGAGGTCACAACACCGGCTGGGTCTGGGGGTAACGAGATGCGTGCTCACTTCTATCAGCAGTCACCTCCCGTATTTTAATCAACGCACTATACCCCCAACCAAAAACATGAATATTAGTCATCAGCAAATCCAACATTACCGTGACCATAACCTTTTTTTTTTTCCTTTTGTTGCTCCAAACACAAACCAAGTATCTAGTTGTCCTAGCGATTCTACTCTACATTGTGCCACTGACCCAAGAAGTTAACTTTTGGCATGTAAGTAGTAGAAGCTTTTCCAGAGGGGCTGAATTCCAACATTGTCTACCGGTTTGAAGATACGGATGCTCAGCACCTTTGAAAAACCCTGTGTCTGTCCCTTTGTCCTCCTCTCTGTCTGTAATACTGTGGCACGAACACAGCACCACCCCTGCGTATTGCAAGCCTTAAAATGCATTGAATGTTCTGAAACTCCGAAGAACCGATAACACGCACATGAAGTACAAAACAACGAACTGTGAAAAGAGTAAAGATGAAGAATTGTACCCTGTAACCCTAAGAACATCAAGGAAGTTTGGTAGAATGGGGTACAGGCAGATAAAGCAGCTGTCAATAGCGTACAACAGAGATGCCAATTGACATTGACAGTTGTTACACATTTTCTTGGTTAACAGAGAAACAATAAAACCAAGTTAAGAAATCACTTCTTGGACCACTTTTTTCCCTGTTTCTTCATTCATTCAAAGTGTTTTATGAAACTTCCATATGGTAACTGCTTTTGTACAGAAAATACACAGTAAGTTGGTTTTGTGGTCCAAATAAACCATGCTTTTTTTTTTTTTCCATATCATGCACTGAGATGCAATCAGCTCCTTGTCAGTCATTACTGAAAGAACAAGCACATTTTTGACAATAAAAAGCTTCTACAAGTAACATTTTCCATGTTCATTTCTACAGCAATCAATAGCCAGAACTATTTAAAATGTTTCTGGAATTTCCTTTTCTGTTGCTGTCTGCGTTTCCAATTGAGGAATTCTGCAGTATTTGTGACATTTCCTCATGCAGTTATTTACAAGGAGATGGTCCTTGTGATGAAGAACCTTGATGAAATTTACAGTTGCTAAGGTACATTTATAAATGCTAGCAGTTACACTCAGACAGAACAAATGGAATTTACTGTGCAGCTCTGGGCTGGGCCAGCAATATAATTAAAGTGCAAATAAAGACAAAAACCACAAGCCAGGCAGATCCATTTTTCATCGCCAGTGTTAAGAAGCATCATGACTGTGGTACGAAGTATCAGATCAAATAGGCCTAGGTCACAATCTATTTTAAACATCTGTCTCCCTGAGAGGATTTAAGGGAGGTATACAGTGATATAGCCCTATTTCTTCAACTGGCTGAGTATCATTGGAAAAGTAAGGACACTTTTCCAGCCAATTTTTTTTCAACAGTGCTAATACCTGCGTTTTATACTATGATGCACTTTACAGCATGCAATTGAGCTCACTTTCCATGCAGCTACAACAGGCCACTCTTGATCAGGAAAATTTAGGAAGTAGCAACTAGCTGTAGAAATGACATTTATCTACCTGGTATGTCACAAAAGCATAGGCTTTGAAAACATTTACAAATAGCACGTTTTCTTAAACATATGCCCATACGCAAATGATTAAGTGCTAGCTCGGATAAAAATATATAGTTTGTGTTTGCTGGCATTCAAAGCTTGCCACTGATGTGAACAATTTTAGAGCTAAGTCAGTGCCGAACGGCTGTACAAAAAATAGACATTTTTCAAACCACTGATTCCACATAAAACGAGACTGCCACTCCAACTCCTAGGGTTCACTGCTGATCACTACCCATTGCCAGACCAGACATGTATTTCTCTCCACAGTGTGTCCAGAAAGTGCTCTGTAGCCTGACTTGTCAGAGAAGCTGCAGGAGGTGCAGAAAAATAAAGTGCCTTTTCCAGGGCTGTGTGCAACTCGACTAACCATCCCCATTGACTGTCTGTCCAAATTTCTCGAGTCTCTGGTATAGCTCCTAACCTTGTATTTCCCAGCTGAAGCTTGCACGGTTGGCAACTATTTACAGCTGTTAAACTAGTTCATTTGCTTTCCATGCTGTAAATACTCTCATTGTGAATTAATGGAAAAATATTTACAGTTCATTTATAGGTAAAATCAGCCACCTTAGAAAAGGCTGACAAGACGTTTAAAGAAGGTAACATTTCATAAAGGGTAGTTTAGCCAGTTAGCCATCACACCAGACCCCATCACAGCCATCTCATTTTGCTCATTTATCTTAATATACCTGAGTATATTATCACCATTCATATCTGTCCCCTTAATTTGTCACATAAGATGGCTAAAATGAGTACTCATTCACAGGAAAGTCTCCTATTTTCCATTAAATGCACAGTCCCTACTGCAAAACATTATCTTTGCAAAGCAGCAATCACTTAATCCAGGTAGGAAGCATCTTTGTCTTCCACCTCTGATGCTCATTTTCTTTGCCTGAGAGGGAAGTGCTGTGAGGCTCCGTATCTCTTATTGGGAAAGAGAGCTTGCATTCTTCGCAAAATTTCCCTTGCTGTCTTTAGGACTTGGCATGCATAATTTTGTTCATTATACTAAAGCTTTCTGTAGACTCTGAGGCAAAGCTGGCTCTTCAGGCAGGGAGTCTGGGTTCAATCTTTAGGGAAAGCTCATACAAAGTGTCTTCGTCTATGATGAGTGTCTTGTCAAGTAAATAGTGAGTGACCTAGAATGGGCAAAACACAGATGAACAGACTGGATGTTACTTCCACAAAAATTTCTCTGCTTTCCTACTCTCTTTCAGTCCATGTTGGATCCTGAGATCCCCTCACGTTGGTTTCTTGAGAAACACAACAACTCGTCTCAAGGATATAAAGCTGGAGCAGCAGCGCTCTAGGAATCAAGCATGGCTTATTAGGAATGAGCAAATCCTTAGCCAGGTTACCAAATCCCAGCTTGCTCACCTGGAGTCTGGGATGAAATCTTCTCCGAAGGCACAGGCTTTGGGCAAATTTTCATTGCTCCCATAAGGGACAAGGGGAAAAGAACTGCAGGATGCACACAGCATCAGCAGATGCTTGGGCCACCTCCTGTCCCCTAATCCTGAGATTCTGGGATTCCCTGTGGAATTATGCTTCCAACTGGGCAGGGAGGAGACGTTTCCCTTTGAACTCGTTCCCTCGTACCCCACACCCACGAAGGCTGTGATCCCAAGAGAGCTTCCAAAGAAGGAGGGAAAAACTTGCTTCTCACCAGAGCGCTTGTCCTCTCCTCTCCTCTGTGTGTACGGGAGCAGAACACATTGATTTTAGGCTTTCAACAGCAGCTGTATCCTACAACTAATTGCTACCACAGCTTCAATTTTGTTAGTAGGTAACAGTGCCTAAGAAGAGCCTTACCTTCTGCTGATGCTCTATGCGGTAGGAGGTCTGCTGGAACTGGCGTATTTCCCTGATAATATGTGAGATCTTTAAAAAGAATACAAGAGTAGGTATAAGTATAACTGCATTTTGATTTCAGCTAAGCCACATAAGGCAAGAATTTTGCCTCAAATGACGCAATTTATCCTCGGAGAAGGGAAGGGCAGAGATCATCTCCTACTGGCTTCCAAGGATTTCACTTTCCTAAATTAACCATTTATTGTTCAGTCAGCCTCGGGCGAACCACCCTGTTTCTCCTCACCCCCTACAGATAACCCGTCTTCTTTTTGCCTTGAGTGACTGCTGCAATGTGTAGCCATATGAAAGACATTAAGATGAAATTACAAGAGATATTTCCATGCTCCTCTCTGAGGAGTTGTTACAAAACATTACATGGTAGTTGGAAAGAAATCAACTTTAAAATGCTTTTTTAGATAGACCCTAGCACACATGAAAAGATTGTGATTACTGCTTTCTGGTAAATCACTACATTCCTTTAAATTTGAAACTGGTTATTTCAAAAAAACCTTTTGTTGCTCCTTCACACGCTTCAGACAGCTGCTTTTTCTGTGTGTCATTTCTCAGAGAACAGATTGGAGGCATTTACCTTGTAAAAATACTCAGTTTACCAGAAGGTGGTGATAGAAGACTGGGTCAAGTAATAGCTTTCAGATAGCTATCTATCTTGTATGATGCCAATATACTTTTAAGTCTTAGAAGTTAAATTCAAAGGAGTTATAATGAAATCAATAATTAACTCACATAATTAAACACCTGTTGGGAAAGCATATAAGGAACTCAAAATTACCATTCTCATTTTGGAAAAATTGACAAGGCCTTCCTCAGTGAAGTTTGGTGTCCCTTCCTCAATAAACGCCAGGTCCGTCAGGTACATTCCAAGGTAGGGAACAGCAGGTGGGTTACAACTGAGAAACAAGAAATCACCATTTAGCCTGTAGCTAAATTCACAAACTATTTTTTTTGTAACTCACACAAACTCTTTATTACTGGACACACTTCTAATCAATGGGTTAAATTCATTTCTAAGATAAACAACTTCTCTGACTTCACTGGAGTTGCATTTGCTCAGCCCATGACAAACTGAATGTATTCTGCCCAATATCTACTATTAATGGTAGATAACCTTTAGAAAAAGGTAGAACAGCAACGTGATGGGAGTGAGAGGAAGGACAGGTCAACTCTGGAATCAGAGAACACCTTCCAGCATATTTCAGTCCTGGCTGGCAGACAGACACAGATCCTACACACAAACTGGAAATGCACAGGGAAGTGCTGCTGAGTGGTTGATATTCTGCATTGATATTCGTGTAAGCATCCCAGTATAGCAAGGGTACATCTATGCGTGTGTGTGAGCATGTGCACACGTGTGTAGAGAGATATACACATACATAGGTATATACATACACATATATACACATAAACATAAATGCATAGATGTATGCATATATGCATGTATATGTAAATGTATACATATATGTATATACCATTCTGTCAAAGTCTATTCAGTCCTAAACAGTGAACACAAAGAAGAATGAGAAAGACAGGCAGCAAAGATGATCTAGAAAACTGGGCACAGAGACCCTAAAGAAGAGGGATTTTCAGATTTTCTTTTCTTGGAGGGGCAGGAGGAATGGGATAATGATTTAATGCCATAGTCACTGCTCCACACTCACTGATTCTTGCCTCAGCAGAAATAGTATCACACTTGGTTTTCTGAAGCTCTGGCCTAAGAAGAAGGTATAGGGCTGGCTGTACTGTTAACACTTAGCAGTGCGCTTATTCTGGGTATTTTTTTTATATTCTGAGGATGATTGCGTGATTGCCCTACACAGGCAAGCAATATATTGACTTAAAGGCATATAAAAGTACCTGTTCACATACTGAGAGTAAAAACATTATTTAAAAAGTGTTTGGATCTTCAACAACATTTTTTATGTAAAAATTGACTAACTTGAACTATATATATATATAATTTTTTTTTTGAAACATTCCAGTAATTGTTCTACTAGTACAATTCTTTGCTTCTCTCAAGATCATTTAAAGTAGTTGTACCACTCAGCCCTGAAAAGCCTACTTCTAATTACAGAAGCTGCAAAAATACAGGTTTTGTACACATGCAGCTGGAGTCAATACCTAGGTTGTAGAACCCTTGTCACAGTATATTTTGCATACTAAAATTACATAAGGTAAAACACAATTTGGCAAATTAGTTAAAGAAAAAAATATTCAAGGACTACTGTACAAAAAAAGCAGCCTGTTTTCCAGGGTGGCAGACTCCAGGGGGCTGGGAGGCTATAGGAGAGGAAATATTGTGCATTTGTCCTGTCCTAAAATTTTTATCTGGAACAAGGACTCTGGGATCCTGTTACTGAGTAAGAACTTTTATTTATGTAACCTAGGCTTTACACTTATTGAAAAAGTTTATCAGTGTAAGTAAAATTCCATCAGGGAACATTCACACAGAATAATAGTTTAATTTGTTTCAGTTATTCTCCGGAGATACTCTATTTATCTAACAGAGGTACTAAATCACAGGATATTCAGCAAAACAATAATGCCTAAAAAACCCGCCCTAGAATTTAAAAGGTTATTAGGTAAAAATATTATCCAATATTATATTAACTATTGAAGCTTAATCAAAGTAAATTAATCTTTAACAAGTACTATCCACTGCTTATAACAAAACACAATTGTATATTGTAGGGAAGCATACTTTTTGAGTGTTTCTCTAAGGTTTTTAAATCTTCCTTCAGATGACACAGTCTTCTGAAGCTTGTCCATGAGAGCTTTTGTCTAGAAAGAAAATGCATTACAAATGTCATTGCTGTTGCACATAAATGACTGGATTGGAGTTTTAGAAAAGGTGTCATCACTTAGCATCTTCACCCCATTTTCAAAAGTAGTAACACAGGCATTAGGAATTTAGTTTTACTGCAGTTCCGAGTGCATTTCTGAAAATATTAGGCAAAAAATTAGGCAGCATTTAAGATTTTCCTTTGAATGATACATAGAACCTGTGTTAATAACCTACTGTTATTAAACTGCAAATTCAGGAAAAAACAAAAGTTCATTAAATTAATGGTTAGCAATTCATTTTATTATGTGTACAGGAATATTAGCGACTTGATCTTACATGTTGCTGAGGATCCTCAGCTGCATTTACTGAAATCAGTGACAATAAAAGATGTTTACTGTCTTGCAGCTTGCACTAAGGTGGTTTTGCCTCCAAATTTCTGATAAAAGCTGAGTATGTACTTGAGAATATATTACTGTCTTATACAAATTACTTTCAGTGGGCACCGTGAGACCTGGTTACTTGATAAGTCAAATAAATTTGCTTTTCAGTCTATTTATGCTATAGAATTGAGACAGTATAGAGAATAATGAGAAATTTGTCATGTTTGGAACTGAATTTCCAATTAAGAGAAAGCTGTAGGCAGAAACAGACACTTTCTTTTTCTTCTAAATAGCAGGCTGATGAAACACTCAATTATGTTTCCAAAAAGTACTGGAGACATTAATCTTGGGTTTTTTGAGGTTTTTGTTTTTGTTGTTGTTGTTTTTTAATTTAGAAGTTTAAAAACCAAATAAATTCTAAACATAAAAATTTTTGGAGGTAAAGTCTTTTGTAACAGTTTGTATTGAAAGGGTTTTAAACCTATTTTTAAATAGAAGGGCAGAGCACCAGCTATAAAGAGGCTGAGAAAAACCTGACTGGAGAAGGCAGTACAGTCAGAATGTATTTTAAGTGGATTTCATTGCTTGGGCTGCTTTGGTGCTTTGCAAAAGCTGCAGAATTATATGTAGGAGGAAATGCAATGATAAAATCCCACCTTTCGCATATCAATTAGCCAGATCTAAAATGGGCAACCTGAAATCTTCCAATTAGCTGGAGTAAACTCTGTATCCAAATACTGCCTCACTTACAAGCAATTGGCTCTGTCCTACTGACCTCCTTGCTCTGTTATTCCACCATACTAAAATATTCTCTCTTTTTTTTTGAAATAGCAGAAAGCTGAGATTCAAATCATTCAACCAATTTCTTCAAACCATTTAAAACGGAGAACATAAAAAACTGGAACTCTTTATCCTGGCTAGTCTTTTTTTCATGCGTCTTGTTTTCCTTACTGGCAGTCATTCTCACAGCTTTAGCCATGCTGCCTACAGTCTCAGCAGCAAGATAAGAGTTAAAAGGAGGTATTCAGTGCATCTAAATAGGCCCCTAAATGAGAAAGAAACTTGTTGTCTACAGTCTTTTACTGGGAGAGCAAAAATTCACCACCTTGAGAAGAAGTCCTGAGCTTTCTACTCACTTTCTGCACAGGCAAGGAAATAGGGCTCCTGTTTTAGGCACCTGAGGTGACTTCAGTTCTAGCTAGTATCCATCTAGATGTGTATATCTGAAAATATCTAAATTTAATTTTCTCAAATATTTCAGTACTTCAAGTTCAAGTTGTAGTCTTAGACACCTGCTGATTCTGTTGTTTGTTCCCACAGATATTTAATTAATCAGATTAAAAAAGGGATAAATGAAATACAGAAGACCGTGACACAAAATACCTTGACAAGCGCTTGGTGCTTTCAGCAAATAGTCAGAGTACTATAAAAGTAGAAATATTTATAGGAGAAATTCTGCCTCAATATGTTGTTCTGTGAACAACGCACTGACCAATGAAATCTAGAAACCCTACTCGTAGTCCTATCTTTCTTACCTGTTTGGATACTTTACCCCAAGTTTTCTTAAGTCTGTAGATTGCACTTCTGTTCAAGGCTGACGTGATTTCTAACACACCATTATAATTGTGCATACATCGACAAATATCAGCTACTGCTACCCACTTCTCAATCGAGTTGGCTCGGGAGCTGACATCCGCATAATTCATGATTTGGGAGGCAACAAGGTTACTCATCTGACCAAACAAAGAGGAAGATATTTAGGACATTTAAATACAACCCCTTTCAACATACAATTATGTAATGAACAAGGCGGAAAAAACCAATGCACAACAGAACTTATGACTTAATAAAATCACCGAAAGTGCATTGAGAGCAGTGATGTAGGGAAGCTGGTGGGGAATGATGACATGGGAGAAGGGTAAGAGATGCAATGGGGAGTATCTCCAAGCCAACAGTAATAAAACTGATTGGAAAGTCTCTCAGTAAAATTCTAGGAAAATGGTAAAGAGATATAAAGGGCATTCATTAAATAGAATCAGTGGGATATTTTCACTCTCTGGAGCAAATTTAGTTTCTTCTGTAGGGAACAAAGTATTGTAATACAGTTTAAAATGTTCTACTTCATTAACTTGCCATTGAAATGCTGAGTACCAATTTTTGGAAACAAGAATTTTCTTTTCCTTTGATTTAAAAGGTTAATCACAAAAACACTGTAACATTCAGTCACTATTAGATGAGAAGTTACATCAGATTGTAAAAAAAAAATATTATTTTTGTTCCAGAGGTCATAGACAGTGTCAATAGGATTCCTAGAAAGTAATCTATATTTAAGAGTACTTACATCATTAAAATGCTGACTAGTTTTCATAATATAGGGTGTTCTCTCATTTTTATCCACTTTCATCCATCCCTGCCCAAGAAACTCTCTAGACATTGAGGGGAAAGAAAAAAAAACCAAACAAAAATGTCCTTAATCAACACGGTATAGAGTCTTTATCTGTAACTGTAGACGAAGTGTATTACAAGTATACCTCATTCTGTTAGAAGCTAATAACAGCTTTACACTAATTCTAGCACTTCTCTCTGCACTATACCATTTTTAATGCTGTCTGAAGCAGTAAATATTACAAAGAAGATTTATTTTTCTTTTAATCCTCTCCCCCAGCCCCCCCACCCCCCACCCCGATCCTAATTTTCCTCATTGTGCCCCTATCTGAAGTTGGTCTTGTCAGCTTAGGTGCTTATATCCACGTTAAACTGCTGTATGAATGAAGCCGCCATGACGCTCCCTCCCCAGAGACCTGTGCCTCTGGCCACAGATTTTGGTTCTCAGCAAAGAACTCAGCCTTTCAAAACACGACCCAACTACAGGGGACTCAGAGGCAACGCCAAAAAGAGCCGAAGGACATTATCCTCTGGTTACCCAAGCCCTTTGGTCAGCAGCGTGAATCAGCGCGGGGCCTCACACCGCCGGTCAGTAACTCATCCACCACACGCGCTTCAGTTGCTCGTAGGAGAACACTTACTCGTAGGGTATGCTTCGGAAAACTACGTGATCTAAAAGAGTTATTTGCTCTGCAAGCTCCATGGCCGACAGTGTCTCAAAGCACTCTGGTTTCGGACAGTCTGACTGCAAAAGTAAGGAGAACACTTAGCGATCTTTTTTTTTTGCATCAAAGGTCGTTTCAAAGCACACGGTATTAAAAACTTCGCATGAACTTTCAACACGGAGTTGTAATTAACTTTGCTACAAAGAAAGTGTAGAGTCCTGCACCTGGGGAAGAAAAATGTCAGGCACCAATACAGGTTAGGCATGGATCTGCTGGAGACAACTTCTGAAGAGAAAGATCAAGGGGTCCTGGTGGACAGCAAAATGACAATGAGCAAGCTCTTGTGGCCAGGAGGACCAACGGAATCCTGGGCTGCATAGGGAAGAGTGTGGCCAGCAGGTCAAGGGAGGTCATTCTCCCTCTCTACTCTGCACTGGTGAGGCCACAACTGGAATACTGCATCCAGTTCTGGGCTCCCCAGTTCAAGAGGGACAGGGAACTACTGGAAAGAGTCCAGCGAAGGGCAACGAAGATGATTCAAGGATTGGAGCACCTCCCTTATGAAGAAAGACTGAGAGAGCTGGGACTCTTTAGTCTGGAGAAGAGAAGGCTGAGGGGAGACCTTATTAATGCTGACAAGTATCTCAAGGGTGGTCTGAAGGAGGAGGGAGCCAGACTCTTTTCAGTGGTTCCCAGTGAGAGGACGAGGGGCAACGGGCACAAGTTGGAACATAAGAGGTTCCACTCAAATATGAGAAAAAACTTCTTCACAGTAAGGGTGCCAGAGCCCTGGAACAGGCTGCCCAGGGAGGTTGTGGAGATCTTCAAGACCCGCCTGGATGCAGTCCTGAGTAACATGCTCTGACAAGCTCTAGGCAATCCTGCTTCAGCAGGGGAGTTGGACTAGATGATCTCTATGGTCCCTTCCAACTCTAAAAATTCAGTGAAATTCAGTGAAATAGGAGTTAGGACAAATCGCTAACACCACAAGGGTAAAACATCAGGCTGGAAACTCATAAGAAAACAGGCACACACCAAGTCATGAGTTTGTACATGGGTCCATTAAAGTCTGTGCATTCTGTGTTACTTTCCACATAATCACTCTGCACCGAGCTCACTGCCCACACTTTTCTTTGGGTTAAGGCAATGCACTTATGAGATGGCGTGACTGCAGTTTGGAGGATGCACACTGTCAGTCATGGCCAGATATGCTTCCGACGGCAGCTGAGATGGCAGACACTTACCATTTCCTATATAGCAATATCTTTCTCCCCTTTCTCATTATTATGTGATTTAAATCTAAATCCTAAAGTTCTGACCTGTTCATCTTTGATATGGTCTCCAAATTCTTACTTTCTCTAAAGTGAATTGTACATTCTTGGTGTAAAAGAACAGTATTTCTGTTCAGGGTTGTAAAGCTGCAGTTGTGCTACATTTTGCTGACTTGAAACCACAACATTTCTATAGGAATATTTATGTTTAAATGTCAAGATGAACTTACCATCTGAATGATATCCTCTATTTTTAAATGGGTATCATCTTGATCATCCTGAGAAAGAGCCCTGAAAAAATAAGTAGCATATATAAATGTCTATGGTTATGACTAAACATCATCACAGATAGGCCATCATGCATATCTAAAATAAATCCTAAGGCTGCAATTGAAGAGGTAAAAAAAAAAAGAAATCTGGTACCGAAATCTCATGTCTTCTTCTAAGTAAAAATGTACAAAATGGTATGACATCAAAGTCACATAAGGTAAAATGATGGTCACAAAGGCTTAAAATCTCTGAGCTAAGAACAGCATATGCTATAGAAAAGTCAATGACAATAGCTACTGTGCTTATTTGCTGATTATAGTGATAAGGTTTCTGCATCTATCCCACTTTGACTTTAGTGCAAAGAAGTTTGGTGGAGAAAAAATATAATTCCCATTTTGGGAACTGGACTGGCAATACAAAACCACATGATAATAATAATATGTAATGAGAAGTTCTCTATCTTGAGTAATTCTAGCAAATTTAAAGGTAGAAAATTACATCTCAAGCCTTTTCTCTGATTTTTACACTACTCTGCTAAAGGATATTTGGGGAAAATGTTTGAAAAATCAACATTTGAGAAGTGAAGAAAATACAGCAAAACAGGCATGCATAAAAGTGATTCACTGGGAAGTGTTCCTGTTTATTGGCACGTCCTATTCAGTGTCCCACACAAAGAGCTGTGAGTGTGGAAACAGACAACAAACTGCTAGCAGATTTTACTTGTAGCAAGTGCATGATTTACTTCCAGTAATGCAATTGTTAATCCATGCTTCCAATTCTTCTATAGAAAACCTGTGATTATTAGGGTTATTTCAGAGCAACGGGTCAAAAATGAAGCCAGTAGAAGCAACAAGTACTCATCAAATACCATCTACCTTGATGTAGTATCTTACCCCTTCATTTGGAAAATACGGTCTCAAAGAAACCTTCAACAGGCTGGATCAATATAAAACAGGAAAGAGAAAATTTAGGGAGAAAGAACAGTTTGCTGGTATGCGAAAGGCTGCTTTTAAAGACACCAGTGATAGATGACACCAGGCAAGATGTCACTGTATTAATTAGCATCAGGGGAGATACAGTTTCAAAATTTAAGTTCCAGTTTTCAACTGCAAGTAGAGGTGACACTGGAACAGGCTTTCTCCAGAAGCTGCAGAATACTCAGCCACTGAATTTTCAAGGATAGTTTAGATGACCATTTTCAAAGAAAATCCAGTTCTATTGATCACTCCAGAAAGCACAGCACCTGGACCAGGTATCTTCTCATGGTCCCTCCAATGCTTTATTTTTGCATTCTGTAGTAACAGACTTTCCACATACCAGCTGGGGAAAGGGTTAAAAGAAAAGAATTATATTGGCTGGAGACTTTAGCTATGAGTGTAAGATACACATAGCTATGAGTGTAAGATACAAAGGAATTTGTACTATGTGGGTGGGGAGGAAGTGTTAATGCTCAGTACACTAGGTTCTTCTGTTGTGGGTTGCTGTTGTTTCCTTTTGGTTTGCCAAATTGGAGGACTAGGTTAAAATCAAATGCAGATACACAGAGAAAGGGTCTAAGAAACTTCCTTGCCTTCACTTTCAGCCTATCAAATCCACACAAAAAGTCCCCTTCTTCGCAGGGAAACACCTTGTGTCTGATGGGGAAGCTGTGCAAAGTCTTGAATATCTGCTTCTTCAGGAGACCCCTAAGCTTCTTCTCCAGATAATGACGCTGTGCAGCCTCAGTAACTGTAAATATGCCAGCAATCTGTCTTTCCTGAGCAGCTTATTTTGTGCTATATCTCATGACTGACTGCCTGCAGAAAGGTATTGTTTGTTGTATGAAAAGAGCATGTGCTTCCTGGCAATAAAAAATAAAAAAAAGAGAGGGCTTGCCTTCTGCCCCAAGTATTCTCAGTAATCTCATAAACTCATCATTTGACTTCCTTACATATAATTTTATATTGGCTGGAGTTCTCGCCTTTGATACAGAAATTACTGTATTTGCTTAATACAAAATAAAAAAGGAAACATGAGATACTTAAAAAGGCTGAATATACTTAACTTTCCCCCATCTTTGCTTCCTGATACTGTCTAACATGACATCTCACATTTTATGTAGACCTCCAGTCCCTCATTCTAAAGAAATGACTGGTGCTATTTCTCTTAACATGTGGTGTCATAAAAAAAAATATTCTCCTTTTATCCATAAATGCTCCACATTTAAATCAGCAGAGGACAATGCATCTCTAGACTGGATAGAGCTAATTTTGGATAGCATCAATAGTAGCTCCTAGTTCAGTCTGCACTGTTGTTGGCTTTGGGATACCTAGTTTCGACCCAGGTCTAGGAAGACATGTTGAATTGCTCAGTTCTGCTTGGGCAGTTCCCATTGCACTCTTTGGAGAGCCTCCTGGAAGCTGGGTAAGAAGCACAGGTCCATGTGAAAAGAGTTTTGAGAGAAAGCCAAGGCAAGGAGAGATTCTGCCAGGCTGTTTAGCGGTATCCCTCTCAGGGAGGACTGAATGGGATGACACCTCCACCATTATGCTTACAAATTAAGGAAGTAAATACGTAAGAAATAACTTTATAATTCTTCGAGGCAAGAGCTAAGTTCAGACCTCCCTCTCACTTAAAACTATTCTTCATGCCTGATTAGCCCAAATATTAAAATAATTTTCAAGTGGAAAGTATTAACATCCATCTCCTCATTTCTTTATCATACATAAAATATTTTAAAAATTCTTAAAAAGCTGGTGTAAGTTATAGAGCCTGAAATGTGTTATCTGGTGAGATCATACAAGGCAGAAAACTGGTCATCCATCAAATTTTGACCTCTGCATATACCTGGATTTCACTTACATTTATTCTGAGGAAGAAGAAGAAGGAACTGTTTCTTGAACCACCTTTTTTTTTTCTGCAGACAGGACTATTTATCAAATTTCAGTCTGAACCTTACACCTGCCTGCTTCACCATAAATGAAGTTTTACCTACATTTCAGGGGTTAGTAAATAAGGCTCATAAAATCTCAAGCAAAACAGTAGCTTTGCCTGGCTTTCAGAACAGATATTGAATAAAAATAAGCTTTTTTACCCTGCAGAGAAATCCTGTCAGTCCATTCAACAAAAATCTCATCAGGCAAGAAGTACCAGCTGTTCCATTTGATGACTCAAGAAGGCATGAAACAGCTCAGTATCGCTCATAAACACTTTCCTTGCCATTCATACTCTATGCAGAGTCCTTCCCAGAGCTGACCATAATATCTCTGGAACATAAACCAACATTTCCTCCTCCTGTAATCTGCTAAGAAAGGGACTGATTTTCCTAGAAATGTACATGCAGATACGTGCACACACACTCAAAGGGTGGGACAGTTCGTAAAAAGAGACATTTGTACCCGATATCCATCAAGGAGACATTCCATGGAATATACCCATACAAAGGCTAAGAAAACATGAGCTTTCTTTCATGAGTGTTTCAACACTGAATTTATCAAAGGAAATGCTTTTCCTGACCTCACTCTGAATTCCCCTACTTTTCAGAGTTAAGAGTAGACTACAAAAAATGAAATGCAGGGAACCAAGACCTACTTTGAGGGTTGACATGTTTTGTTAAGCCAAGGCCTTTTAAATATAAAAGCCTGCAGCAAGCACCTCTTTAGAACAGCTAAAAAGCCTATTTTATGACTTAGCAATTGGGTTAACAACTATTTTCATGAGGGGCATGTCAACTGGCTCACTCCTCCTTCCCATTTTCACTCTGCCCCACAGAAACCTTTTGAATGAAAGTTTCATCAAAACTTTTAGTTCTATGCTTTCACATAAAAAATATGCTGTCAAAAATCTTCAGACAAATTGATTTCTAATAACAGTAAAAAAGCCCTTCATTTCTAGGTGGGTAATTTATGTTCTTTCTCTTAGTAGTTTAGATGAAAGCCCTCTAGAAAAAAACCAAAAAGAGAACATCTTTGCAAGGAGGTGGCTATGTGGTGGTGAAAGACTGGACATCATTTCTGCAAACCAGACACTGGTACGTGAACCAAAAGAGGAACCTCTACACACTTCTATAACAAGAGAGACTCTAGATATCTTTAGGACATCCAGGGTGGGATTCACAATCTTTGCAAGTCACTGCCTGTGTTCTCTTATTGTCTCAGAAAGGAAAATGTCTTCTATGATCTCTGGAAGATCAGTCAGAATACTTAACTTTAGACAATTTTGGTGGACAGAATCTCCTTCGTGATAGGCAGTCACCTTGGAAGGAGTGCTTCATTAGCTGTCTGCAGTTTATTTCATGGTTAAGTGCTTCAGTCAGACACAGTGGGTCCCACGAAAGAATTTTTTCTAAACCAACACAGAGAGGAAATCCCTTTCCCCTCACCCTGTCATTATAACCTATGGACAGTTCAAGGAACCCAAGAAATAATTTTATTCCTTTACAGGTCTTCTTTTAACATTCAGCACATTGACTGTAATCTGCCATGTTAGCAAATGATAGAAAATCTGTAATCTGATGCAGGAAAAAGGAAAACAATGATATGAGAGATACACTGGTGTAGAACATGGTGCCTCTTCATAATGTCTTGGTGCAGTATGGGAGCATTTGCTTAAAGCTTAGCAGTTCTTGGTCAAGAGGAATATAGTTTTGTTTGTCACAGGGATGAGCAAGTTCAGTGTTTGCTTTGACCTGCTTCTACAACCAGCCATGGCACCATGGGAGTCATCAGGCAAGAATATCAAGGAAAGAACCGTTTCTGTGTCACCATGTCCTCTTTTTGCACCAGAAGCAGTATATTTGCTTTTAGTACAAATAAAGAAAACACTTTGTTCTTCTGGCACTAGAAACCTGGCTGCCAGCTGGGTTCATACAACTGTATTGTCAGACAGGATGCAGGCGTGTGTATATTGTCTCTTCTGCTTCTGTTGGTTTCTCATTCTTCATGAAATCAGTTCCAGAATTGATCAAAGACCTTTTCATCCTGCCAGAAAAGCTAAAGCTTCCTGATAGAAATTATGCCTCAGTTTTGTACTTTGGATTATTAAAAAGTTAAGTTTTCAAAGAACGGTCTGGAGTTGGTTCCACCTCTGAGGCTGAGATGCTGGAGGACCAGAAGGACTGCTGCTTGATGCCCCAGAAGCTGAGATGGTTCCTGGGGCAGCCAGAAGTGTGTGTTCACAGACTCCATGGGACAGCAGGTCACTACTCAGGACTAGCAACTCAATCATTGTTTTTTAAAGCTTATAAATATTCCTGTTTTAATAACATGCAATAAAAATGGAGGCTTGTGGAAGAGCAAAGGAATGTGCATGCTTGTGTCACTACCAGACACAAACAGCTGCATTCAACTGCAGATTATTCCTTAAATCATCTAATTTCCTCTTCTTAGCTAGCTATATAGCCTTGCTGAGTGTATGTCTCCAGGTGTAACTACAGTGCTTTTTCAAAGCTTGGAGACCACTCTCAGTCACCTTACAACCCATTTTCCTGAGGTGATTTAAGAACCAGAGCTCCTCCTTCCAGTGAAAGAGTGAGATGTCCGACACATTTGTGTATTTTCACCCCAGCTGAATGATTTTTTTTCCTCCAATATCAGAATTGTTCCAATGCACTCTATCTCACAAGGTCATTGAAGCAGCTCCCATTCCTGGTGAATTAATTTCTCCTTACCAGCTGACTGTTAACAAATGTGATGTGCCTGGCAAATAACTGCCTCCTGTGTGCCTGGAGAACGAGCCCAAGCACTTCAGTTCACAGTTTTGCTCAGTGTAAGACTTTGGGACAGTTTGTTTTATGCAGTAACATTTTTAACTTGGAGGCTAACTTATGTCCTGTTGACTGCAGCTTGACAATGGTTTAAATTATGAAAGTTGTATTTATGCAACAGCTTCTATCTGAAAGCTTATTTATGCCATGCTCTTATTTGAAAGTTTATGGGCAGTTTGTGTATATAATAAACGTACGGATAGGAGTAATTTCAGCTGCTACTGAAAGATGGTTGCTACTGGAAATGGAACATAGCAGATTTCTGAACACTTGGGACAGCAATACTGTGTCACTGATGCTTATTGGACTTAGTGTTGAAGTAGTATTGAAATAGTATCGAAATTAGAATTGTATTGAAATATTCGACATACACATTGTCCAGCATGCATATTTCTTAGCATTGCCAGTTTTGAAAAGCAATAAAGGGGTTTTGACAACCAGTTTTAGCCAAGGCTTAAATTTCATGGCTCACTTTGAAGCGTGGCATCCATGCAGCATCCAGACAAAAGGACCAGTCTTGCACACCCAGCCACCAGTAGCTCCTTTTGCAGTGCTGGTTTGTGGGATGTAACCCAAGTACTTACAACTCCGTATGATCAAATCTATAACCAAACTGTGTTGTTTGAGAAATCTGGTAGGATTAAGCTATACAGCTGCAAACCCTGATGGAAGATGGCTTGGCTGAGGAATTCTTCATTGTCTACCTGTTTCCAACGGAAACTCCCATTGAGAACAGGCCATTTTATACATGCTTTACTTGCCTGCTTGTAAAGTACCATAATCCTTTCCAGAAATCCTGTCAGAATAATGACTATGAAAGAAGGGGTTTTAAAAATGCAATCTGTTTTGCAAAATATTTCAAATGAATTGGTTTTTAGTTAACTTTTAGTTTAATTTCTGTGCATATATTTTTTCATTTTTTCTAAAATCTTGACTTCATTGAGTATTGTTTTATTTCACTACTTCTTCCTTTTGCTTTTTCTTTTTCCCATTTCTCAGATTTTAATAATTTAACTTTTTCAGAATTTTCACATCTTACAGAATTTACCATTTTAATTTTTGAAAAAGAAATACACTGTGAAAATTCACAGAATGGTCAAAAATTCAGTCTTATCTAATCTATCTAATATCTAATTAACTGTGCTCACTAGCACATACAATGTGCTTAGATAACAAAGTAATAAGAGCTAGAAGGAAAGAGAGGACAAACAAGACCTAAGTCAAAGGGTGCAAATGGGGGCAACTCACAGTTTACACATAATTACCAAGGTCCCATTTTTTAATGCAACAGCTAATGGAAATTGGCTAATTGGAGACTGGATATGGGAAATTTCTAACAAAATTGTGTGTTAAAGACCTATAATCTATTCTATTACTCTACCAGGAACAGCCATTCCAGGTTTATTTTCTTATATTTTCTTAAGAAGCTAAAGGTCTTAAGATAATTTTTCACACTGTGAGCAATCTGACGGAACCTTCGCTGTCACACATATTATTAAAACCCATCATCCTAATCGTTTTCGCTCTTCTTGCTTGCTGTTTCTTTCAAAGAAATACATGAATCAAACTTACTATTTTTACTTTGAATAACAACACATGCGATATAATTAAAAGGGAGATTTATTTTTATTTATGCAAAAATTAAGTAGGATCAAATTGACATGAAGGGCTCTTATTAAGAACTTATGTTTGTTTCTTAACCTTTGTTTGACTTTTTTCCCTCCAGGTGAATAACTTTCCCCTCATTCTTCTGACTTTTTTTAAACTTATGTATCTGATGGGGAAACGTGTGAAACAGCCTAAGAAAATTCAGACACACTGCATTCAGATACACATTAATGCTTTCCAACAAAATCATTACAAAAATACTAACAAAGGACACTATAGATTTATTTGTGGTTTTTCAGTGTATCCTATTTTAACAAATGCCTAGTCTTTAGATGTTTAGTGCTCCTTAGTAATGTAGAGCAATTTACATAAAAATCAGCTACTATAAAATAGTCACATTTAGTAGAAAAAATTATTGTCACTGATAAATGCTTATAAAGATTTGTCTCTTTGGCATGACCAGGCACTTAACTCTGCAATACCAACCCCGAGTAACGAAATGAGGTGTTCTAACCCTAATTGAAGAAGTCCTGGCTGCGCAGAAGCTTAAAGGTCTTTTATTTCATGGCACTAATCAAACACGAATCCCTCTCTGCACGCCACCCAAAGAACTTTGGGCAGGGTGTCAAGGCAAAGGAAGGTGCAAGCATGGTCCTGTTAGGGTGGTGAGGCCCAACAGGCTACCACGAGCCTCTCGTGGGCTTAGCAGAGTGGGTGGCTCGTTACTGAGACAGGAGTTCCTCCAGTTATTACAGTGAGTGGTCTTGTCGCTCTACCAGGCAGTATTTTTCCCTTCTGCATTAAGGGCTGAAACTGCAGCTGCCAGCTGTACTGCAGCACAATTTTCTAATACAGGTATTTTTATGAATGAAACTTAAAACACACTCTGTTTTATCGCTAATAAAACACTTAGTAATCCTTCAAAATTAAATACTCTGGAGAAAAAAACCAAACCCTGTGAATTCTATGATACATGATCGCCTAACTATTTCACATGCTGTAGTTAATATGCTAAATTATTAGAGATGTATTTACCTCAGTATATTTGCAGTAGCTTTCCTTTCTTGTGGCAGAAGGTCGGGGTCTCTCAAAACTTCTTCCAGCAAATTTAACACATTCATTTTCAGCTCATTGTTCAGCTCAAAATCCTACAAAGGAAAACAATTTTTACTTCCTTTTGTTTTAATGATGTAGATCAAATAACTGAAAGGATATACTTTTGTGAGATTTGCCTTTTTTTTTTTTTTGCTATTAGTTTTGAAAATATTTAGAAAACTTGGAAAGCTATTGTAGTCAACAGGCTACAAAAGTGAGAGCCCTAAAGGCTGCAATTTATCTCCTTTTCTGACCTTTATCCTCTGTGTGGAAATAAACAAATCACTTAACCTTCCTATTCTGAAAGAAGAACTGCATATCACCAATACTCACAAAATGCCTTATCCTCTCTTCTCCTGTGATGACTATAAAAGCAGGAAAACAGTTTAATTGCCATACTCAGCTCACTGCCTAGCGAGGCTGGACACTAGTTGTTCACTGTTTTCTTGATTTTCTCTGTTTATCTGCCTCCTACTCTGGTATTTCTTATCTCATACTCACCTTTTGGAAAGGTCTGCTTTTTGTTCCATGTAGTGGAGTACTCAATCTAATAAGATCAATAAATCAGATTAGTGCTCTCTGGCACTGCACGTAAAAGCCTCAGCATTTTAATTATTTTCGAGGCAGACTGATATCTGACACAGGAAAACCCAATAACCATTTCTGTTGATTTTTGATAGTGGAGAAAATCAAAGAACAGAACAATGTACAAACTTTAAGGTGGGAACTTACAGGAGTAGACTCCAGAAATGCTTTTATTAAGCTCAAAGCTAGCATTTTGATAATAAAACAGTCCTTTAGTGCATCATAGATACTCCTTGATCACCCACAGTTACCTGCCAGCAAGACCATGTTTGTGGCAAGTCCCTGCTTGTTTCCATGGGAATGGAAGCCACAAAGTAAGGCTTACAGGACACACCAGAGGATAGACCTGGCCCTATGTACATGCAGCTGTTTCTGCAGCTGTTGTCTTACTGCCCAAAATCTCTTTTTTGTGCTCGGAGATATTACTTTTTACAGCAAGGTGCTGACTGCTTCTTATAATGTGAGGAGAAAAAAAAAGAAAAAAGGTGGGATTCAGAGGAAAATTGGAGAGCTAATCTATTTTTTCACTGAAGTTCATGATCTACGGGGTACTGAGATACCAGTGTAATAAGAAATATATAAAAAAACTAGGGAAATTGTTGCATTTAAACATGTACATGTACTTAACTCTATGTAGAAAGGTTAACGTGAGAATTATATGAACACCAAAATACTTAGCAACCAATTCTAAATATAATTTACAGATAAATAACTACAAATGCATGCAGATTATACCTATCTGTATTATGGGCATTATATATGTGAATGTATGTTAATATATTACATATGTATATTATATCTGTAGCATAGGCACATACAGATCTTTATGTAGCTGTACATAGGTCTAGGTATCTCGCCTATCACATCTCTCTGGTGACACTTTTACCTGCTGTATGTCCTTGTAACACATTTCACTATTTCTTCCAGCTGTTGGAAGGACTTGTGAACAAGACCCTGCCACCATTCTGAGCAGACTGGTTTGCATTTAAATGGCTGCGTGTTTTAGACCACCCCAATGTTTAAACTGACTTTTAGTTTAAATTTACGTATCACAGAAAGAACACAGTCAGTCAGACAAGAAACACTCCATTTTCCAGCAGGCAGATTTCAATTTGACAGTAGTGTAATCCTTCATGAGAGGGCACATGCCTCTAAAACATTTTAGAGTCCATAGCAGCCTAAGGATTGTGGGTCTTTTTCAAATTTTTATTTCACTTAAGCAGAGAAATTATCTAATATTTCCAAGCAAAATTTAAACTTTTATTTTTAAGTTCATTACTGTCAGTAACGAGCAAAGATATTTCTTCCCTATTTATTTAATATTTATACTGCAAAACCACTTATGAAATGTGCAGATGTAGAAAAAATGACAGCTGATGAGTTAAGTGGGAGGTCTGCCCTGGAGTCACCTAGGATAAGAATAGGATGTATGAAGTTCCCAACCAATCAAAAGCACCATGCACCATGCTCAGCACCACTTGATGAAGTTTCCAGCAGTAGAAGACTGCAGCAACAGACCGAAGTGTATTCATTTTGCTGTCACCCACCTGCACTACAAGAGCAGAAGCCTCCTTTGTAACTACAGAGCACCCAAGTTCAGCATGGTTACATTTTATGTAGACTCACAACCAATCTGTTGATCCCTACCATGCACAGGATTAGACAGCAATGTTCTCTTTATGAAGTGCAAGCACATTCCCTTGCCAGGAGGAGCTCGGAAAGCTGTGCTGCAGCATAAGAAGTGCTTCAGAAACAACCTACCCCAGCTGACAGAAAAAAAAATAAAAGGAAAAAAAGAGGGGAAAAAAAGAGGGGGGAAAAAAAAGGTAGGGGATGATGGATTTGGATTCACTGGCCAGAATAAAAGAGACTGCAGCAGAGGCAGCAGAAAGCAAGAAAAATAAGATTTAGCTATGCTGGTGCAGTACAACTAGAAACAGTAGATTTGCTGTCAGTGGTTTATACAGAGGATATAATTTTCAAGTTTTGACATGGGCTCACTGAAACTCCAAAAGCTTTTCCTCCCCTCTCGCTTTACATCTTCCAAAGTGAGAGGAAATATTCTTCATTTGAACAATGTGAGCAAACATTGAATAACCCTGACAAATAAGCAGGAGCTAAAACCTAAGAACTTAATTTATATTTGAGTAGGTCAGTGGTAAGGATTACAGAGAACACTGGAAGGAGGGAAGGAAGGGGCAGGAGGGGAGAGGGGAAGGGGCTGTGCGTGGAGAAACCGCAAAGAAATTTGAGAGAACCCTTTCACAGAGTCGCATCATCCAACTTCAACATAACCCTACATGCTTCATGTAAAAATAATCTCACCTAAGTTCAGCTCTGAAACTAGAGCCAATTTTTAACTCCTCAGGCACCTGCTCACAAGGCAAAAAAGCCAATTGGCAGGCTGGCTTAGGCACCCTGTGATTGCCATGTGAAGGGGAGGAGGAGGCGAGCGAGTTGTCAGGATAAATGTAGCACTACTCCCTCATGACAGCCTTTGCTGAATGCATTTGAACTCATTTGATTAGTTTCTCTCCCTTTCTCATTCCAATTTTCTGCTACATAGCGTTATGCTTGAGGAGACCCAAGAATGGAAAGTTCTCCAGATGCTCTGGCCAGCATTGGTGGAAGGTGCCACCCACCCGAGTTATCACAGCCTGAGCTGGCAGGACTTGTCATGGACCAGGGGACCACTCTATCCAGCTGATCGAGCGTGCTTCCCAGGCTGGAAGCCTTTTTTCAGGCCAGTAAGGAAGGGAGCTGACTGCTTTCCAACTCGGATTCCCAGCCTTGGCTCACACAGCCCAGGATCTTTCCACAGATGCTCCCAGATGTAGCTGATGTTATCACTACAATGGAGAGCACCCGATGCACTGGAATATTTTTCTAGCCACTTCTCTTCATCTTGTGAATAAGTGCGTAGTGAGATTTTTTCATAAAGCACTAATAAGAGAACCTGAAGAGGGAAGCGTTAGATGGAAACAGGGAGAAGCAGAAAAGACAAACGTGGGAAAAGAACAGGAAGGTCAAGTGCTCACATTTCTAAAATGGAAGGTGAAGTAACCAGAGAGGTACCAAGTAAGAAATGTCAGGCAGAGATAAACTGGTGGGACTTTCATGCAATAGCTGGCAATGGCAAAATTTTTAGAGATATCTGGAGGGGAAAATGCTCTGAGGGAGAGGAAGGAAGAGTTAAATTAGTGAAGGGAGAAGAAAAATCTAATGAAATACTAAAAATGCCAGATGTGAAAGGGAGGGAAATCTGCACGTAAAGCTAGAGCTGGGGTTTGGGATGTCTCTGTGAGTACCCATACAAAGTGGAGATACCGTGTGTAGACTTGCTGTCCTTTGCCCCCAACTCCAGCAGCAAGGTGGACATAGGAGATGGGCACAGATGCTGAGAACGACCAGCATTGCTACTGACTATCACTGATTACTTCAAAGCAATGGGCTAATGATGAAATCCTGCTGGGAGCCCAGTATTGGAGATGTTCAGGAGGGGAGACAGATCTACTGAAATACTGCTTACAAATAATTTGGAATATTTTTAAATAGATGTGTTTTGCCCTACAATTTTAATATATCTGCTCTCCTGACAAAGTGCAACCAGATAATTATTTCAATGTCCTCAGTGGAGCGACTCTTAATCTTGCACACAGCAGATCAGACTCTATCAGAGTGAAATGAAGTTACTCCAGCGCTGCAGCCCTCCACAACAATATTTAATTTCCCAGCATAAAAGCACACTGCAATTATCACATGCAATTGTGCTGAGGGATGTGTTTATAAATTTACCTGCAACAAAACAGTTACACACGTGGCAGGCGGAGATAAAAGATATTATAACTGGGTATCTGGAAAACGCATCCCTGAACTTGAAGTAAGTCTGGCTTATGTCAAGAGGCAAGCAAAGGACAGCAGCTTTGTCTTCCAGTTAGCTTCAAGTGCAAAGGGACAGCCATCGTTCGGGGACGAGTGCCAGTCCCCATTCTACAGAATCAGCGTTAACCTGTCACTCCTGATGGAATATAATCAGGTTAAAAGTACAAGCCATGTTAATAGCACGACTGAGTAATTCTCACAATACAAAGCCCTCCTCATCCAAGCACTGTGCAGCCCTGTCGCACGAAGAAACCGTGGAAGAAGAATCTAGACATTACGTAGCGTCAGATTAAGGCGCTCAGGACAGATAAAGAAATGTGACATCCCTGCCTCTGAGTCCTGGGATGCAGGGACGTTCGAGAGCTCTGCAGAAAGACCTCCGTGAAGAAGGACCTGTCAGGCTCCAGCAGAAGTGGGTGCAGAGTACTGCTAATTAGTTTGACTGGCTGCAAGCTTGGCTACCGTTCTGGGGGTGACTCACGTTCCCTGAAGGGTCATGGTATAGCAAACCCTTACGCTTCTGCGATGTTTGGGCAGAAAGTAGCAACAATTAAGTGCATTACTATTCAATGCATAACCGTATTCT